GATGAAGCCTGACTGTGTTGTGGTAGCGTTCTGAAGGGGGAGTGACTTAGCGTGGAGAACTGGAAGATGTTAATATGTTGTTTTTGGTGATTTTCAAGACAATAAAAGGTAACATGGTGATCTAAATATGTTATGTTATGGTGGATTTTGAGCAACAGGAGAAGTGAATGTGGACAATTGTTTGTTTTTTAAAAAGCAGATTGTTATGGGGAAACTAGTCGTGTGGCTTATAATTGTTGTGACCACCAGGGGGCATCGGTAAGAATGCACGATGAGAGATGATGGAGTTTTATGCCTTTATTAAAACGTTGAACTCGTGTGGGTGTGTATGTGTATTTGTGTGTGGTCCTGAAACAAACAGAAGGAAGATATATAAATTATAATACACTCTATAAAATAGCTAAACAAACATGTCGGAAACAAACGGTAATAGCTTTCTAATAATAGCGGGCCGCTAGCTAGCACTTAGCATCTAGCACATCTAGCATTTTCTTGAAACATATAACGGCCCTCGAACACACATTTCTATAATCGTCTACTGCCAAGAACTGCAAAAAACACTCTACAAACAGCTTCATGTGTATGTGCCTTTCTTCAAACCACTACTCACTTCTTTTATACGCACACGAGACTTCACACCCATGAGCTCCGCACGACGCACTGAAAACTAAAACACGTAGCGCTGTCAACCAAACTTAAACACGATAACATCTGATTGGTTACAATATCTGTCAATCAAACATCTGGCAGAATATATTATGTCCTTCGACACACAGATTGTCACAGAGACAGAAAGATTCTGTCACCATATCACCCAGGTTTACTTCACTAAGTCCTGGAGTTTAGAACATAAGACAGGTCCATGTGCAAGTTATTAGGTTCTTTTTTCAGACCAAGAGTTTGTTTTCATCCCTGACAGTTTCGACCTCTCCCTGTGGTCTTCCTCAGAGTCACGTGATGTTGCTGTGACGTGGCGCTCAGCTGATTTAAGGTTTTGGCACTGTCTTCCTACCAGTGGAGGCTATAAACCGAGACGAAGGGCTTTTTTACTCTCACACACCTGGGATTCTGTCATGAGAAAGTGGGACTGCAGATGGCGCTGTCGTCCTGCCTCCATCGGTAGGAAGACAGCACCAAAACTTGTTTACATCAGCGGAGCCAACTCTTGGTCTGGAAAATGAACTTAATAACATAAAATATCAGAAGACCAAATGAACCTCAGTGGACTGGTCCATGTGCAGGAGGGTGATAAAAATCAGACTGTGATCTTATTCATGTGACGATGTTCATGATGTGTTATTATGTTCATGATGTGGTCAGATCTTCACTGTCTAATGCCGCTGACACACAGAGCTCCCTGAGGCTCTGAGTGAGTGACACATCGAATTAACCAATCACAGTGAAGCATGAACTCTCAGAACAAGCAGATAATTATATTTACCACTTAAGGCAATACAAAGAGAAGGAGATCCTGATAGATGCAGATGGAAAGAAGCTTGTATCTGTCTTTGCTTTAAGGACAAACACAGTGGACAGCACCTGCGCCCGAGATGGTTTACACTGGAAAAAAAACAAAACAATGAAACATAACTTGATTTGAGAAGCTCGCGGCGCCATAATACAAGACTTAAAACCAGGAGGACAGGACCTTCTCTGTGACCGGCCCTAAACTCTGGAACACCCCATGTCCCAACAGCCCCCTCACACACTCGCACACACTCGCACACACTCGCACACACTCGCACACACTCGCACACGCTCGCGCACGCACACACAGCGCCCACAGTGGAGTGCTTTAAGTAGAGCCCAACGATATACTACCTATTGGCTGATATTTGTTTATCGACCGATGTGAGCACTTGGAGACATGTCGTCTAGAGAGAGACGTGTTATATCTCCTTGTAAAGCTTAGACTCTATTAAAACCATTATATGCAATTTACAGACAGATAAATATCCTAATATGTGGCACTGCATCAATATTTATCAGAGGAGTCATTTGTCTGTGTCTGTGATGCCGTACTGTCCCTGAACACACCTCCAGAGTCACGTGCTCTTGTTTACACCAGTGCGACATTCACTCTGAGGCACTGGCTTTAAATGCTCTTCTGTTTGATCTAAGATACAAACTACAAATAAATGTGTCCTTCAGAGCAGTTGGGCCAAAACTACTGCTTGTTTTTTTGTTTTTTTTATCAACGGGTGAGTGCAGAGAAGAGAGGACTGTCCCACAGACACAGAACTATCCCACAGACACACAGAACTGTCCCACAGACAGAACTGTCCCACAGACACAGAACTGTCCCACAGACAGAACTGTCCCACAGACACAGAACTGTCCCACAGACACAGAACTGTCCCACAGACAGAACACAGACACTGTCCCAGACAGAACACAGAACTGTCCCACAGACACAGAACTGTCCCACAGACACAGAACTGTCCCACAGACAGAACTGTCCCACAGACAGAACTGTCCCACAGACACAGAACTGTCCCACAGACACAGAACTGTCCCACAGACACAGAACTGTCCCACAGACAGAACTGTCCCACAGAACTGTCCCACAGACACAGAACTGTCCCACAGACAGAACTGTCCCACAGACACAGAACTGTCCCACAGACTGTCCCACAGACACACAGACACTGTCCCACAGACACACAGACACTGTCCCACAGACAGAACTGTCCCACAGACAGAACTGTCCCACAGACACAGAACTGTCCCACAGACACAGAACTGTCCCACAGACACAGAACTGTCCCACAGACACAGAACTGTCCCACAGACACAGACTGTCCCACAGACACAGAACTGTCCCACAGACACAGAACTGTCCCACAGAACTGTCCCACAGACACAGACTGTCCCACAGACACAGGACTGTCCCACAGACACAGGACTGTCCCACAGACACAGACTGTCCCACAGACACAGACGGACTGTCCCACAGACACAGGACTGTCCACACAGTGTCCCACAGACACAGGACTGTCCCACAGACACAGACACTGTCCCACTGTCCACAGTTGCTGTGTTACATGATTATGATTTTACAGATGATTGTTTGAGTCAGGATTAAAAGGACATTTATTAGTGCAGACTTGTGATCAGAGAGGAGCCTGTGTGAGCGCTGAGTCTTGCAGATGTGTTGGTTTTGAAGCTACTTTTTGTTCTTTGTCATTGGTTAGTGCTGAGCTGCTGTAACTTCCAAACATAAACAGCCTGTTTTCTTACATTACTGGACCTGCACTGATGTGTAGAGGAGCTGTGCATAGACGTGTGAATGGTCAGTGTTTACGAATATGATAAATATAATTAATTACTGTACCTTGATGCTCTAGTCTACCTAGTCTCACCTGTGTCTCACCTGTGTCTCACCTGTGTCTCACCTGTGTCTCTGTGTCTCTGTGTCTCACCTGTGTCTCTGTGTCTCACCTGTGTCTCTGTGTCTCTGTGTCTCACCTGTGTCTCTGTGTGTGTCTGTGTGTCTGTGTCTCACCTGTGTCTCTGTGTCTCACCTGTGTCTCTGTGTCTCACCTGTGTCTCTGTGTCTCTGTGTCTCTGTGTCTCACCTGTGTCTCTGTGTCTCACCTGTGTCTCTGTGTCTCACCTGTGTCTCTGTGTGTCTGTGTGTCTGTGTCTCACCTGTGTCTCTGTGTGTCTGTGTGTCTGTGTCTCTGTGTGTCTGTGTGTCTGTGTCTCACCTGTGTCTCTGTGTCTCTGTGTGTCTGTGTCTGTGTCTCTGTGTCTCTGTGTCTCTGTGTCTCTGTGTGTCTGTGTCTCTGTGTCTCACCTGTGTCTCTGTGTGTCTGTGTCTCACCTGTGTCTCTGTGTCTCTGTGTCTCACCTGTGTCTCTGTGTCTCTGTGTGTCTGTGTCTCTGTGTGTCTGTGTCTGTGTCTCTGTGTGTCTGTGTGTCTGTGTCTCACCTGTGTCTCTGTGTGTCTGTGTGTCTGTGTGTCTCTGTGTCTCTGTGTGTCTGTGTCTCTGTGTCTGTGTGTCTGTGTGTCTGTGTCTCTGTGTGTCTGTGTGTCTGTGTCTCACCTGTGTCTCTGTGTGTCTGTGTGTCGTCTGTGTCTCTGTGTCTCTGTGTGTCTGTGTCTCACCTGTGTCTCTGTGTCTCTGTGTGTCTGTGTCTGTGTCTCTGTGTCTCTGTGTCTCTGTGTGTCTGTGTGTCTGTGTCTCACCTGTGTCTCTGTGTGTCTGTGTGTCTGTGTCTGTGTCTCTGTGTGTCTGTGTTGCAGGAGGAGCAGTGGGAGCCCCGGGTCCATGTGGTGTTGGGGGGGCCTCAGCCTGATGTGGATTCTGTGGCTGCAACGCTGAGTCTGGCTCTACACCTCAGCCTGGTACATACACACACACACCACACACACACACACACACACACGCCCCTAGTGGCCGAGACGTGAACTGACAAGAAGTGAAGGGACCCTCGCCAGGACGCACAATGTATACAAATTATTTTAAACACACATACACGCAAAGATCACAAGTCATAGAGGTCGATAAATAATTCTGATCATTTCACTTCTTTATTACTGATAACATGTAAGTAGCATGTTTATTTGGAAGATTTTCTAATGATTTAAAGTCATATTTTTGATTGCATTTGAATTGAAAGAAATTATCACGGGTATGATTCCACTTACAACAATGAATTAAATATTTTCCATAAAAATGAGAAACAGAGAAACTCATTTTCTGTATTAAAAAAACACACGGGGGTCATGTCGACTAATCATTTATTCCAGAAAGTAATTTGCATATCATTTGAAAATAAACATCTGTCCGTCAAAGGAGGTTACCAAGGAGGTAACCGTAGAAACTTTTAGAATGTTCCACCCCAGACTGTGTAAGTATGGCAGACTCCAGCCAGAGCTCCACTTTACCAGATCACAAACCGCAAGCAAACCGTCGAGACACACACACGTTTGACTTAGACGTTTTTGAGTGAGAATATCTGTTTATTCATATACCCATCGATCGAGCTAAGCGATGGATAAACCCAATAACACGGTGGGGTGTGATTCGGGACTCTCCCAATCACTGCCACAAATCGACAACAACTTTCGTGGCTTTACCTGCCAGAACCAAGGCACCAGCAAACGGTCGAACAGAGCCAAAGGAGCAGGGACAAAAAACAAGAGCAGGAGCAAATCCCGAGCAAAAGTGAAGGAGCAGGACTGGGATTTCGAGAGCAGTTACATGGACCTCCTGGGTGGCTTACAGGAGGAGGAAACCACAGATTTAACTGCTCCAGAACTGAAATGTCCCAGTGCTGATGTTAGTCCAGCCCCATCTTCACCTGATGGCAACAGGCTGAAGACATTTAATAGTCAAGCTCCGGAGCCAGAGCTAAAACATCAGACTCTTTCAAATGTTAGTGCCGCGCCAGCCTCAGTATCTGACACACGAGGGGAGGATCAAGAGGACTTCTACATTTCTGAACTGCTACAGACAAAAAGGGCAGAACGACAACTGAAGGGGAGCAACTTCAGAAGGCGTCAGTCCAGTTTTATACCTGCTCCTCTTGGGGAAAGCCTCCAGAGCCCTGTGTGCCTGGAACCAGAGCAGGTCAGCAATGAGGCAGTGAAAAGCACACCAGAAAAGTTCTTTAAAAAGGTGAAACCTGAGAAGAACTTTCCAGACACTAGTTTGGAACTGTCTCCGGCATTGAAGGAAGATACTGAGGACTCAGCACGATGGAGGAACCTCCACTTGGAACCTCCACGTGGCTCACCAGAAGAAGACAATGAATTTCTGGAAGTCTCAGAGCCAGAATTTAAAAAATGTGAGTCTTGCATCAGATGGTAGCCCATCACCATCTTATGAAAATGACTTTGATAGAGCCACAGAGTCAGATCTACCTCAAATGCTTTCAAGAGATGTAAGATCGCTCTTACTTAATAAAGATGATGAGGAAGAAGACACCTTTAATTATCAGAAGGACTCGACTCCCACAGAGCCCCAGTCCAGTCTTTCCCCTCCTCCACTTGAGGAATTAGAGCAAGTAAGCAGTAAGGTGGAAGACGACACGGCACAAAGGTCCTTAAAAAAGAAGGAAGAAAACTTTTTGGGGACTAGCTTGGTAGGAGAGGAGATTAAGAAAGACACACACAAGAAGAAGGCAGAGGTGCACCACCGCAGTGTTTCACCTGCCTCATCCAGTTTATCTGATGCTCCCGAGCCTCATGACGTGGCAACATCTCCTGTGACAAAGAACTTGGAAACATCTGAAGAATTTCTAGAGTCACAGAAGAGACGTGAGGAAGAGGAGGAGAGACGTCTGAAGGCCGAGAGTGAAGAGCGACTGGAAACTCTCCGCCGGTCACTGTTGGCGAAGAGGAGAGAGGCAGAAGCCAGACTGAGGGAAGAATCAGAAAGAGAAATACAGGCTCTCCAAGCTGAACGGGAGAGACAAGCTGAAAACATCAGGCGGGAGGAGAGACGGATGTCGGCTGAGAACGAGCAGAGACTGGAAACTCTCCGCCGGTCACTGTTGGCGAAGAGGAGAGAGGCAGAAGCCAGACTGAGGGAAGAATCAGAAAGGGAAATACAGGCTCTCCAAGCTGAACGGGAGAGACAAGCTGAAAACATCAGGCGGGAGGAGAGACGGATGTCGGCTGAGAACGAGCAGAGACTGGAAACTCTTCGTCAGTCTCTGTTGGCGAAGAGAACAGAGGAGGAGGAAAAACTCAAGAAACAACACGAGACAGATCTGGAGCAGTTCAGGGAAACGCTCCAGACAAAACAGACAAAAGAAGAGGAGCAAATCCGGCAGGAGGCGAGGTGTCTGAAGGCGAAGTACGTAGACAGACTTGAGACAATTCGTCAGACTTTGCTGGAAAGAGGGGCAGAGGAGGAAGCCAGACTCAAGAGGGAATCTGAGGAGGTTCTCGAGAGACTTAGAAAAAAGCTCGAAACTAATCAGAAGAGGCAGGAAGAGAAAATACGGAAAGAAAACGAAGCCTCCCTGAAAGGTCTGAAAACGAAACTACAAAAACAGCAGGCAGAAATGAAAAATAAACTTAAAGCCAGCAACAAGATGAAGCTGGAGGAACTGCGGGCTCAGTTGGATGACGAGGCAGAGAAGCAAAGACTCCAAAAAAATAACAAAAAAAAAGTAGACTCTTTCGAACAAGGCCTGGAAGAAGAAATGAAAGCTCTGATGAAAGCCAAACGGGATGAGGTGATGCTCCGGTACGGCAGAAAGATGGCTGAACAATTCAAGAAAGAACGTCAGGAGCATGAGAAGAAGTTAGAGCAGCTGCGGGAGAAACACCAGAAAGAGATTGGCGAGATGAGGGAGAAACTTGTCAAGGATTGTAGAGATGAAAAAGAGCAGCCGGACGTGTCTCATGCCCTCGATCTGGACCGGGCGGAAATTCTCCAGAGACAAACAGAAACCTCAGCCCGAGAATCTGAGCTCGTAAAGGTGATCCTCAGCACCAGAGAGGAGCTGAGGAGGAGCAGGGAGCAGAGGGACAGCGTGGAGACGAGGCTCAACCTGCTGCAGGAGAAACACGACGGCCTCGATGTCAGAATCAGACAGCTCGAGGAAAACGCCGCCGCAGAGAATAATTTTGAGTGTGATTTTATCAGCTGAGAAAACCGTGTATTTATGTACTCGCTGAACATTTGTTAAACGAACTTGTGATCAATAAATGTACAAACTTAGGACTCTCGAAGATGGCGCGGGTGTAGTCAG